GTTAGAAAGAAGCTTTATCTTATTGATTTGGCTGAAATGCTATTAGCATGCAAGTATGATGAAGTTTATGTTCCACTGGAGGAGGAAGGATTTGGTGTTGATTTCCGGTAAAGCCTTTATAAGGAAAGGAGGTTTTTGAAATAGTAGATTTATATTCTCATAATAGTTGAAAATAGTATATTTTGCTCTACATTTAGAATATAATTAAAGACAATCTTTTTTCATATCAAGCAGGAAAAAATGATGCTCAACACATGACTACAGTTTAATATGTCAATTTCAACTGCATATGTTTTTATGCAAAGATATCTTAAGGTTTCTCAATGCGTTAGAAAGGTTAGTAACTATCAATGATGAATCAAATTTATAATTTAGACATGGGTTCTGAAAATACTATATTTTACACGTAACGAATGTATTACTGATCTATGTAGTATTTATTAAATTTTACTCTTGATTTTAGAAAACTTGAGTTGTTATCTTTCATGTTGGACGCGCTTTTCTTTGTGGAATATGAAATGCTCAAGTTTTCACCATCCTTCATAATTGTTGCATTAATTTATATGAAATATGAAATGCTCAAGTTTCCAACATCCTTCATAGTTGTTTCAACAATCTATACAGCTCAGACCACATTCTACGGTGTCCAGCAATGAAGCAAGACATGAGAGGTGCATACTAAGTTACTCTGAAGATAAACTTTTATGAGTCTAAAAATTCTCCATTTTGATGAATCTTCCAACTCAATCTTGCTCTTCTTATTTTGTTACTTTTTTTTTTTTATCTTTGTTGTTTAGGGAGTATTCGAAATCGATTATGGGTTATCACTAGAAGGCAGCAACAGAAAAACTAACAGGGGTACATAGGAAATACAACATATCAAAATTTGATAATGCAGCAAAGTGTGAACCTGCCCATTTTCTGAGGCAGACTCAACAATAGAGGACTGTTGTTAGCATTTTCCAAGCTTAAAAGAGTGGTGTAACTATGGAATTACAGGAAATTCATATTTGAGATGTTGAAATTTGGTGGTACTAGGATATATTGTGAGTATCAACCTTGCATATGGAGTAGTATCCGACATATGTCGATTGATATTTTTGAAGAGTTCGAGCAACATAAGTTTATTATATGTTGTTAATATTATTAATAGATATTTATCTAAGAATCGAACTAGGACCAAACCAAACTAAAAAATAAAAATCAAACCTAATCGAACAAGTAGCTTAAACAAATTCAAAGACCCACAAACCCAAAAAAAATAAAACCTTTTTTTACTAGAAATTATCAGTAATCAAAAGCAATTGAAATTAACAAAGTTTATGAAGAATTCTTAAACAAAAAACAAAAACACAAAAATCAAAGTGACTAAATCATAAGATAATCATACGTAAGAATTCACCGCACTTTGTTAAAAGAGACTAAATCGAAAAGAAAACTCACCAGAGATGACTTCAAGACCTGCTTCTCAGTGAAACAATGAAAGAGAAAACCTAGCTTCAGTTTTGGGAAAAACTAAAGAGGCGCAACTTAAACTTATGGAAAATGAAAATAAAAAAATTGGAAACCTTTACAATATTTTTGTGAAAACAAAAAGACTACGATTTTTTGGCGGAAAATTGAAAAAGAAAACTCTATTTTAGCCCACAATAGCATAAATTATTGCTGTTAAATTAAGTACATTAGTAATAACAAAAAGATACTATCGTCAAATATTTTCTAGATAGCAACTAATTAATAAAGTGTTGCTAAAATTGGGCAGCACGTTCATGATTGCTGCAAAAACATTGTTGTAATTTTATTGTATTTGGAATTTATTATATTAATTATTATTAATAACATAATATAGCAACAATAAAAAAGGAACATAAAGGACATGTTACACAAAAACAATTCAATCTTTGCCTTCCAGAGAATTGATTTTCTTTATCGTAGTTCATATTCATATTCTGAAAAATACTTTATTCTCAATCATTAATTTGTCAATTTAATCAATAAAGGCCATCCAATCATCAAGAAATAAGTTTTAAAAGACAATACATGTGACCTAAAGCTCCATTTACAGAATAGGAACATAATTGAGCCAATTTGTTATTATGGAGGATATTCCTTTATCATGTTTTTAATAACTCGAAAGGAATGTTGTCAGACCAACAACCAAACATATGATATTTTTATTCTATTTTTAATAATTCAAAATTTTTTGATCCTTTTTTTTATATTATAAATTTTGATTAAATTTATAAGTTGGTCAAATATATTTATAAGCATTTTAAAATTATTTATGAATTTGATAAACATTAAAGTGCTTATAAGGCAAAAGTCATAAGGTAATCATTCCAACTTATACTCCCTCCGTCAGTGGCGGAGCTAGAATTTTCAATAAGGGAGTTCAAAATCTAAAAAAATAGATACACGAAGTAGTCGAAGGGGGTTCGACATCTACTATATATACCTAAAAAATTATTTTAACCATGTATAAATCATATAATTTTCCGTCGAAGGGGGTTCGGATGAACTCCCTCATTGTAAGATGGCTCCGCCACTTCCCTCTGTCCAACAATACTTGTCCAATTTAGAAAATCAAGAGATAATTTACCTTTTGTGTCTATTTTACCCTTGCTATTAAATACTCCACTATTTATCATCTAACACATTTCTCAAAAATATTAAATTTAATAAAGTCAAAAGATAAAATAGTAATATTACCCCCTACTATTATTTATTGTTTCTTAAAGGATGTGTCAAGTCAATAGTGGACTACTATTGTTGGATAGAGCGAGTATATATTTTTAGATTGTAAGCATTTTGAATTTGATCAAGTATTATATTAGCATAACAGGTATAAGAGAGAACTTTGATGACATTTCTAGTGAACCCAAAAAAGGTCGAAGAGGCCAGCATAGAAGCACAAAAAGTATGTTTAAATAATGCATAATTACTTTTACATTCTTATATGCCTTATACATAATTATACAATATAAACACACATATTTTATGTTTAAATAATGTATCTACACTGTATAAGTATGTATTTGTTTTTGAAAAATTACATAACCAATCAAACATAACTAGTAATTATTTTCTTCTGAAAATTACATAACCCAACGAGAGCTTCCTATTTCTCTAGCAATTTCTTCCTCCAATTTTGATAAACCTATTTTACAAATTAGTATTGTATTTAATGAAGAGGCAAAAATTTTAGCACATAAAATTTATAACTTATTTACCTCAGCTAAGCCAAACAGGCTCTTAACATGGCAAATTTCATTGGGCAATTATGTAAAATGTCAGTCCATCACTTACTATATTTTGGTCATATTTTTTTCCAAAAATTGGCTATGCATCCTTTCTTTATTCTTCTTCTTCTTCTTTTTTTCTTTAAAATTTGGTGTACCACAAAAGTGTTTCAAGCGATTAATATATTAAAAGACTCGAAACATCGAGAGAATTTTATATCTAAAATTTGAGACTATTTAAAGGTGATTTTGAGTTGGTCGAGATTGAATAGTCAGTGTATACTGTATACTTTATGTATAGTTGAGTTATATTCAGTTTTTTAAGTGTATCATAATGTATAGTAAGTGTATAGCTCATGTATAAGTAAACTATATTGTATATTCAGTATATATATTTTTTTATGATTTTTGACATTTTTACGTAAATAAAAACATGACTGTATATTTGAAACTATTACAATCATTTTACATTAAAAAATTTGTGTTTATATATGTTAACAACTTTAAACCCAAAGCTAAAATCAATACATGCATTTTATCTTCTTCTTTTTTTTAAGAAAAAAATATCTACTGGTGTGATTTATATTTTGTAAAGCTAGACGCATTTGTTCTATCAATATTTCACTTTAAAAACAATAATCATATATTTTTATCATATAAAGTCAATGCATCAAAAAGAAGAAGAAAAGCTCGATTGTTTATAGTTGATACTGACAAATGTTTAGATCGTTCATGGTAGAATCACTAGGTTAAATAAATAACATTCAACTCACTTATTAAAAAAATAAATTGAACACCCTTGATGAAATTTCTGGCTCTGCCACTGATCAGAGTTCTCGGATTCGAGCTCTGAATAATTTTTTGTTGGGAGTGCCACCCCGAATGGGCCCTAGAGTGAGCAATCCGAATTTAGTTGGGGCTCTAATGTGGGGTTCGAAGACTGGGTGACAAACAAATTTTAAAAAGGGATAATTGTACATAATAGCAAGCTATTAATTCAAATTAAATGCTATAAATATACTTTGATTTAATTGTACCCTATAGCAAACTATTGCTATTTTCGCCACTCTCCCTGGTGGAATCTCGCTCGCCACTCTCGTTTGGTGGTAGTCTCGCTCGTCTCTCTCGCTTTTATACAAACATAAATGTATAAAATGTGTTTGTGTTTGTATAAAGCGAGAGGAAATTGTATATATACATATATTTTTGTTCCCCTCTCTCCCCTCTCCCAGATCTCGCTCACCACCCTCTCCTCTCTCTCCCCTCTCCCAGATCTCGCTCGCCACCCTCTCCTCTCTCGCTTATACAAACAGAAACGAAATGTATAAATTGCGCTTCTGTTTGTATAAAGCGAAAGAAAATTGTATATACACATGCAAATACATATATCTTCGTCCTATACACTTATAATTATACAATACAAATATTTCTCTGCCCAATTTTCTTTTGTCTTTCTCTCTTTCTCATTTTATACATACACAGATTATACAATTGATCTTTTGTATACAACTGCTTTCTTTTGTATATGTATAACGAATTATACAACTGCTTTCTTTGTATATGTAAAGCGAATTATACAACTATTTTTTTTGTATATGTATAGCGAATTATACATATATATGTTTGCTATGGAGCGCAATTATGCAAACTTTGCTATAACATACAAATATGAATTTAATGTTTGCTATATGCTCTAAAAAAAAAAAAAAAACCCAATTTAGCAAAAAATAACTTTTAAACCTTGTAGTTTCCGTCAGCAGAAGAGAGGAAAAATGGAAGCCGGTGTTCTTCTCAGAGCTCTAAATCCTTTCAAATTCAGAGCAAAGTTTTCTGGATCATACACAATTCGATGTTCTTCATCTTCTTCCTCTATCAACATTCCCACTGGTTCGTTTCAAGGGTTTTTTTCTCTCTTTCTTTTATGCTTTTAATTCCACACTACTCTTATAAAATGTAATCTTGGCACACACCCACTAATTTTTATCTTGAATTATATACATACAGTGTGAAAATATTATTAAGATGCAATCTTGGCACACACCCACTAATTTTTAGCTTGAATTATATACATTTAGTAGAAAATATTATAAAGATGTATATTGTGAAAGTGGGGATTTTAAATCTTGGATTTTATGTTATTAGTAATGTAATGATATTGAATTTCTTGGTAGGGGCAGGGAAAGAAATGGGGAGGAGAGCATATGATGGATTGTTGTTGGATGCAGCAAATACACTTTTGCAATTGACAAAGCCAGTTGAAGAGACTTATGCTGTGATTGGCAAGAAATATGGTTTGTTGGTTCCTTCCTTTAATAGTAATATTTCACTTTCCAAATAGCAAAGGAGAAATCTTTTTTTAATCCCTTTTCCAATCCACTTCTTGGGTGAGACAGAAGTTGAGTTATTTGTTGTTTTGTGTGTGTGGGAGAGAGATGCAAGTTTAACTGGTCTATAGTGTAGAACTTCACCTTATTGATGATTGTAGATATAGCTTCCTCCATGTATCATCGTTGTTAACTGGGATGCCGAACTACACGTTCTGTTAGGATCGGAACCGGAGTAGTGCAGAATTAGCCAAGCAGTGTTGTAATGATAATAACAGTGAGTTAAGAAAATAAAGGACACAAATTTAGCGTGAATTAGTCAATATGACCTAATCCACAAACGTAGAGGAGGAATTTACCATATCAACCGGTACACATGAGAGAGTATAAAATTGGAGTAGATACTCTAATTAACCCAAGAGAATAACCTTACAAAGCCACTCCAAAGAAGAGGCTCACACAAAGTATTATCGAATATTAACTCTAGAATATACTTAACTCTCTATAACAAAAAACACTCAAGGAGACATTCTAACAATTTGTGGGATGATTCAAAGGAAGAAAGAATACCTATACTAATAGTGGAAAGTTCTAGGTCCCAAAGTAAAGAAAAAAGATGAAAGAACACACTTTTATTCTTTGGCTCAAAGTTGTAATGTTTTGAAACCAGGACACTTGTTGAAGTGTGTGACCATCTCATCTAAAAGTTTAAGTTGTTAGAGAGAGCACACTTTTATTATTGGTGTCCCATATCAGCGGGTTAAAAAGTCCTTGATCTCCTTATATGGTCTTGCGATCCTCCCCATGAGTTAAGCTTTTGGGGTTGAATTAAGTTTAGGTGCCATATCTTTACATGGTATCATAGCCAAACCTACCCAATTCATTATTTCCAATGTTGGCCCCCCTGTCTTATATTGTCCATGCTCCAAATGAGCAGTCTTGGGTGTGCTGGGGGAGTTGGTATCCCACATTGGGGGGCTTAAAGATCCTTAGTCTCCTTATATGGTCTTGGGAAATCCTCTCCCCATGAGCTAGATTTTGGGGTTAAAATGACTTAGGAAAAACTAGTAGGTTGTTTAATTTGAGAAAGAGAATTGATATATTATTGATTTGACGTGGACAAAGCAATAAAAGGAAATCGTGTTACAGAAATAAGAGAAGAAAAACAAGTGTCGGACACATTAGAAAAATGGACAATATTGCAAACGTGATCTTCTTAGTATGTAGGGGTCTTGGCAGTAAAAGGAAATCGTGTTACAGAAATAAGAGAAGAAAAATAAGTGTCGGACACATTAGAAAAATGGACAATATTGCAAACGTGATCTTCTTAGTATGTAGGGGTCTTGGTAGATCTGATAGATTTTCTCAAGGTGAAAATTGATAGAAGGGGTAGAAATCAAAGATTGTGAAGGGAAGGGGACTGGATTGATAGGAGGGATGGAAACCAAAGATTGTGAAGGAAGAGTGGGTGTAGGAGGTATCGGAGAAAGTGGATCAGGAGGAAATGAAGAAATAGGTGGAGGAGAGGATATAAAATGAAAATCAGGATCAGGTTTAATTAGTGAATTAGATGAGGAAAAATGGAAACACTAGGTTGAACAGTTGAAAAAGGATATATTTATTAAATTTTAGGTTTAGCAAACATAGAAATCATATTTGTATGCTATAGCTATAGTTTGTATAATTGCGCTCCATAGCAAACTTTATGCTTGCTATGGCTATTAATCTATATATTTGGGTATACATATACGTAAAAAATATGTATTTGGGTCTATTTGTATATTTCGATATACAAATGGGTCCTGCGTTTATATATTTCGGTATACAAATTGGGTCCTGCATTTGTATATTTCGGTATACAAATGGGTCTTGCATTTGTATATTTCGGTATACAAATGGGATGGCAAAAAACATGGATCATTTAATTTGAATTAATAGTTTGCTATTTCATACAATTTTCCCTATATTTATTCATAAAAAACAATATTTCTAGTATCAAAGTATTTTTGAGAATGTAAACTAAGTAACTTATGCCCCCAAGACCTAGCTCAAGTGGCAAAAGGTGGAGGATTTGTGGCTTAGGTCGCAGGTTCAAGCCCCACACCATGCCAAGCGAAGCCCGGTATTTAAGTGGAGAAGGGTAGAGGGGTGGGCCCATTATCTACCGAGTTTAGAAGGCTGTGATTGGTCCAAAGGGCGGGTCACAGACGGATTTCTCGGTTATCAAAAAAAAAAAAAACTAAGTAACTTATATCCCTTTTTCCCAAATGGATACCCAAGAAACATATCAGGCTCAACTCTAGGATCCAATTTAGATCTACCTTGGGAAAGAATAGAAGCAAAACCAAGACAACCAAAACCTTTCAAGTTAGAGTAATTTGGAGGATGACCAAACAGTTTTTCATATGGTGTTTGAAAAGATAATAATTTAGTCGGACATCTATTGATTAAACAAGTGGTTGTCATAAGACAATCCCCCAAAATTTCGGTAGAAGATGAGACTGAAAAAGCAAAGCTCTACAAACTTCCAAAATATGCCTATGTTTCCTCTCAACCACACCATTTTGTTATGGTGTGGCAACACAAGAAGTTTGATGAATGATGCCTTGTGAAGACGAAAATTAGAGGTTTCCAAACTTGAACCCAGTTCCCAAGCGTTGTTAGATCTAATGACCCTAACTTTCTTATTAAATTGTCTTTCGATCATTGCAAGGAACAATTTGAGAATAGAGAATACATTACTTTTAGTGGCTAATAAAAAAGTCCAAGTCTCTCTACTAAAATCATCCACTATTGTTGTAAAAATACTTATAACCATTGTAGGGGTTTTACAAGGCCCCCAAGTATCAATGTGGATTAAATCAAAAATTCGTTGAGATGAAAAATGACTAGTAGGAAAAGGAAGTTGGGATTGCTTTGCTAATCGACAAATAGAACAGAACAAGGAACAAAAAATTTTGAACAAACATAAACATGTATTCCATTGATATTCTGCATATTTGATGAAGGCATATGCCCCAAGCTTACATGTCGTAAGTTGCTTTGAACAACAGAAAGAGAAATACATGGCAAATTGGATTTATCATCCTTTAGGGAATGTAAACTAGAGCTAGGCTTACCCTTCGGGGTGGCCTAGTGGTTTGGGCTTGGGACTTCCATGTTGGAGGTCTCAAGTTCGAAACCCCTTGCCAACGAAAGCAAGGGGTTTGCCTTCTGGGTCGAGCTCGTAGCACCGGGCTTGCCTAGTGTGGGATACCTCTCCTATGTGGTTTGCGAGCTATTGCATAGGAGCGGGGGTTTTACCCTGTGCGCACCCAAAGAGTAGAGGCTATGGGTTTCCCTTATCATTAAAAAAAAAAACTAGAGCTAGACTTAGAGCAAGAATCGGCAGCATAAGAAAAACCGGAAGCCTATTCTTCAAGATTTTGAGACCATTTTGACTTTCACCAAGGAGCATTGGGCTCTTAATTAAAGGGCCCTGCATGAAACAATGAGAAGTAGTGAAAAATAATATATTAGAAAGTTGTTTGCTCAACTTGTGGTACAGACAATAAATTGAAATGGAAACTAGGCACATTCAATACATCATGAAGGCTAAATTTGAGAATATAGATCTTGAATGAGAAACCTTAACCCTTTGTGAATAAGCTAACAAAAGTAATTCTAGGCAATGGTTTTAGATTGAAAAAAAGTTTGTTGTTGCAACTCATGCTCAGTTGCACTTGAGTCTAATATCCACGTCTTTTTAGTGAAGGTTTTACAATTATATGAGTTCAGAGAGAAGGATTAAGGGTTAAAGTAATACCCGCATAGTTGACAAAAGCTATGATATCAGGATTATTCTCTCGATCCTTATTTTTTATCCGCTGAAGCATCTGCATGACCTGTGCAAGTTGCAACCGTGTGAGGAGTTTCATATGCTCCTTTGATTCTGTGCTAGTCATGAAAGAATCTCCCAAAAATTCATGAGAAGTCACAACATTATGAAAATTTCTTTGCTTAGTAAATTTAAAATTAGGTAGAAAACCATGTATTTTATGATATTTTCCAATGGTATGTCTTGTTTTCTTGCAATATCTACATGCAAGAGTAGACTTCTTGTTATCATAGTTCCCTTTTTGTCCCCTGAAATCAGTAGAAAATGGTCTTTGTCCATTGTTTCCCTGATTGACAGCTATGAATGAAGAAGATTCATTGGGAAATTTTATTTTGGACCTCGCTTTGCTTCTCCTTTTACATCAACAATGCATAAGCATTAGGTATGCATTAGGGATAGAAGGGAATGGTGAAATCATAAGTATATTACCTCTAGGTGCACAATAGAAGTCATTAAGTCCCATTAAAAATTGAACCAATCGTTCATCTTGCTTGCTTGGACTTAATGTTCTTTTCCTTTGCTTCGTAGGATCAAGCACAATTGCATGGAATAAAGAAATCCAAAGTATTAGTTCATTCCAAAGACGTTTCATCTTAGTGTAATAAGTAGCAATATGAGATGAACCCTGAACAAGGTGACTGAGTTCCTTTTGAAGCTAGAAAAGCTTAGCACTTGAACTCTGTCCAAACATGCCTTCTAATTCTGCCCACAATCTTTAGTTGTGGAAGAGTATATAACACTTTTAGAAATTTCTCTAGAAAGAGAGTTCAAGAGTCAGAAAATTACCATATTGTTTGCTCTGGACCAGGCACTATGCAAATTTGTACCTGCAGCAGGTTCTTGAGTTGATCCATCAATAAAACCTGACTTGTTTTTCTCGGTCAAGGCTATGAGACTGCCTCTCTTCCATCCCCCAAACTCTTGCCATCAAAAGTTGGATTAACCAAAAACATACTAGCAGAATCAGAAAGAGAACTGAAAGAAGGATGAGAAGGGTTTATGAGCATAACGTCTGTATTAGTCCCAATAAGAATGGGAACTTGAGTTTCACAAGATGTGTTTACAGGATCCACCATCGTAACAAATTATAGATTAGGAGAAATGAAGATAGGAGTAGAGATTGATGAAAATACATCTTTTTTTATGGTCTTGGTGTCCGGCCAACTTCCGTGCACTAATGAAAATACGTCTTGTGATACTCAAATTCCCATTCTTGCTGGAACTAATGCAACCATTGTGCTCATAAACCCTTCTCATCCTTTTTCATTTCTCGTTTTGATTCTCCTGGTATGTTGTTGGTTAATACAACTTTTAATGGCAAGATTTTTGGGGGTTTGGAAGAGAAGGATGCTTATAGCTTTGACTCGAAAAACAAGTTAGGTGTTGTTGATGGATCAACTCAAGAACCTGATACTGGTACAGATCTGCACAGTGTTTGGTCCAGAGCAAACAATATGGTAATTTCGCGGATCTTGAGCTTTCTTTCCAGAGAAATTTCTGAAAGTGTTATATACTCTTTCCACGGCTAAAGATCTGTTGGCAGATTTGGGCAAAGTTCAAGTGCTAAGCTTTTCCCGCTTCAAAAGGAACTCAGTGACCTAGATCATCTCATATTGCTACTTATTACACTAAGATGAAATGTCTTTGGGATGAACTAGATACTTTGGATTTCTTCATTCCATGCAATTGTGCTTCTTTCTTTGCTTCGCGGGAACAAGTAAAGAAAAAGAACATTAAGTCCAAGCAAGACGAATGATTGGTTCAATTTTTAATGGGACTTAATGACTCTTGTTTTGCACCTAAAGGTAATATACTTATGATTTCATCACTCATTTTTATTCCTAATGCTTATGCATCAATTCAGATTTTTGTGGTCCTTCTTTAACCACATTGAAAGGTGGTGTCAAGTGTAAGCTAGTAATGATTATTCAAGGAAAATTTGGATTTATTTTCTAAAACATCGAAGTGATGTTTTTCTAACTGCCAAACAATGGAAAGTTTTGATTGAAGGAAAACAACTTAAGCGGTTTAGAACAAATAATGACTTGGGATTTTGTAATTCTGAGTTTAACGAGTTTTGCGAGAATGAAGGAATTGCTCGACACCACAATGTGAGGATGACCCTCAACAAAATGGTGTTGCAGAACGGATCAACAAAATTCTTTTGGAAAGAACTCATTGCATGTTTTCAAAAGTTGGGTTGACAAATGCCTTTTTGGGTAGAGGCTATATGGAAGATCTAGAATCAGTAATGAATGCTTTAGGCACCTTGTAATTTTTGTTATTTAGGATTGAAGATCTTCCTGATACTCTCCTTTTATTTGTAATTAGTAAACCTCAGGTTTGATTTTTTGGAATATAATACAAGACTGTTACCTTCTCAAAAAAAAAAAGAGGCTATATCTACAACACGTTGTATTGTCAATCGTGCTCCATCTACACCTTTGAACTTTGGTTAGGTGCTCCTGTTGATTATTATGGTTTAAAAATATCTGGTTGCTAAGCACACGTGCTTGTAAATGATTGAAATTTGGAGGCAAGGGCTAAAAAGAGCATTTTCCTAGGGTATGCATTTGGAGAGAAAGGATGCATACTATGGTGTGTCCTGATCCCATGTCACTAAAATTTATAATTTGAGAGATGTAACCTTTGATGGTGTCCTGATCCTATCCCAAAAGAGAGTCTTCTAGTTTTTGTAATACAGGTAAAGGAAGACTACATAGGAACAGGGCCAAATACGATATACAAGTGGGACCTGCACTATGAGCAAGCTGTGCGAAAAACTGCTGCGCCTCAACGCATTTCGGGGAGAACCAGCTAGCTCTGGGTTTGAGTGGCATTTCACCCCTAACCACAACTCATCCGCTGATTCTTCAACATCAGTCGGTTCGGAGGCGCTTCGAGTTAGCGAAGCGCTGGAGTAGCGCTGGAGTAGCGCCGAAGCCCTATGTGCTATAATGCTGAGCCAAGGACGCTCCGCCTTCTCTATAGAAGCAGTCAACTGAGTTCTGAACGAATTAGCTCAAGGTTGAGATCAACATTCCTTATGAGCCAAGCTCATCAACTGTGGAACAAAATACAGTTGAAAACCTGAAGATGAACCAAAAGTTAAACTCCAGAAGTCGCAACTTCTATATTCCATATTCACGCATAGACCAAGAAGACAATCCAAAACCAGGAAGCTGTGGAGATTATATTGCATTTGCTTTTTAAGTTGCACAAGAAACTGAAGAAATCGGAGAACCATCAAAGCACTCTGAAGCAATTTTGAGCGTGGATTCAGCCAAAAGGCTGATTGCAAGGAATGAAGAAATCAAGTCTCTCCACAAAATAGTACTTGGTCTTTTGTGAAGCCACCATCAGAAAAGATAATTGTTAGTTGCAAATGGGTCTTAAAGAAAAAATAAAGGTATTCCAGGGGTTGCAAATGAAAGGTATAAGTTACGGTTAGTTACAAAGAGCTATATTCAGGTAAAAGGGGTTGAAGCCACAGAATAGAAGTATTTTCTTTTTTCTTTACTTGGGGACCATAAACTTTCCGCTGTAAGAATAAGTCTTCTTTCTATGCTGTTTCAGAAGCGGAAGACTTTCTGACTGTGTCTACCTTTATATCAGATCAATATTTTAGCAGAAGATGGCCTTGTTATTCAGCCAAGAGTCAGCTATAAGCTAAAGGATCAAACATGTAGTACTAGTATTCGACTTGTATCTACATGAAGTCCTAAATTGTGCAGCAGAAAACAATAGCAATTATGTGAACCAACTTCAGAATAGTTTCCCTGGAACGTTGTAGTGAGCCTAAATGTGTTTTTCCTTATCCTTTTCTTCAAGCAAGCGTTTTTATCCAGTGCAGAAAAAGTCAAGAGAGCACATAAATATCTCTATGTTTTTTCAGAACGATTGCTAAAAGTACTTTGTCTAATTTTAGGGCTGACAACTTCTCCAGCCGAAATAAAGCAAGGTTTCAAAAGAGCTTTTTCTGCTCCCTGGCCAGAAAATCTTCGTTATCAGGTTGCAACTTTGCTGGAGTTTATGCTCATTTGTCACATGTGAAAAATCAGTCTCTTTTGACTGGGAAAATCCAACATGCCTGATGTCATTAAGTATTTGTTTATTTGAAAACTGGAACTTTTTCTTATATTCTCATGTTATATGTTTCCTCTTCTTGGTCTTACCCCTCCTTCGCTTTCTCTCGTTGGGTTTCCCATGCAAATATTAGCAAGCCATTTTAGCTTGTGATGACTTAGTTCTTACATGTAATATTGTAGAAATGACTAGCTAAAGAGATTGATAGTTTGAAATGAGGTAATTTGGCCTTCCCCTGCCTTTGTTGTGGACAGAGCACTTTAAACATGATTCAGCAATGAGAAAATTATGCTGGTATCCTGAGTTAATTTTGGATACAAAGATGAATAAACTCTTGGAATACTGATTACTTGTGGAAAGTTGTCCTTTTTGAAATGTACTATGTCGGTGTATTCTGCATATCTGTATGAATCGGATGTGGTTTTTCTTTATGAAGCAAAAAAGTTGCAGTCCGTGCACCTCCATTTGTCCAGTCACTGAATTATTTAAAATGTCCTAAAATTGAATTGTTGGTTAAAGTTCATATTTCCATTATAATGTTTACTGTTCCTTTGACATTATTAATCAACTGAAGATTATGTACAATTGGCAGGATGATGGACGGCCTTTCTGGAAGCTTGTAGTTTCTGAAGCAACTGGTTGTAGTGACGATACCTACTTTGAAGAAGTATACCAGGTCATTTCTTGCTAGTAGCTACCTTGATGAAGTCTAAAACATTTTATAGAAATTTGAAGTTAGAAATGACTGCTTTACCTGAAGTGTTTGCTTTAATCAGCACTATGCAAGTGGCGAGGCATGGCATCTTCCAGCTGGAGCTTATGACACAATACTGATTCTGAAACGTTCAGGAGGTTATCGAGTATCTGCATTACTTCACTTCTGACATAAGATTTGTGTAATGAACTTCTCTTGCCATCCTTTTGTTTCTGAATTACTGAACCTTGGGACAGTCAAACTGGCCGTTGTATCCAACTTTGACACCCGGTTGAGGAAGATTTTGAAAGATCTGAATGTGTTGGATCTGTAAGCATCAATCCTTTCTTATATTTTTTCCCCGTTATTAAAGAACAGTTGGAGCTTAAACCACTTTATGTCGGTTGTCAATTATATTCCTTGATCTTGAATGTCAGTACCTAATTACATAGCAAACTAAATGGTCTTTGAGCCTTGCAATGAATTTAACCCCTTCAAATTTACTAAGAATTCTCCTCGGCATGAAATGGCAGGGGCAATGCCTGCTTGAAATTTTGAAGATGCGTTGTTTACTTTTGTGTTCTCTCTATCCACAGATTTGATGCTGTCATCATATCGTCAGAGGTTGGACATGAAAAACCAGATACAAAGATATTCAGAGCTGCTTTAGGTATGTGGTACAAATACTTGTACATCTTTCATTAACACAGTGATAGAAGGTATCTCTACTTTAGCATTGTTCTTTTTTTGTTTAATATTTTAATCTGACTTCTTTAACAACTCTTTCGAGTTATATTATGACCCTGGGTGAGGCTTATTAAAATTATAAATTGATACTAATACATTTGTCAAATAAACCTGATACTGGATACAAGAAGTTCCACTTACCATGTTCTGCAATGTTGTAGATCAGATCAGTGTGGAAGCAATGAAAACTGTTCATGTCGGAGATGATGAAAAGGCTGATAAAGGGGGAGCAAATGCTGCTGGAATTGACTGCTGGTGAGCTTCTGAAAGTCTTGTTATATTTAAATTTCGATAACTTCCTTAGCAAATGTCTAGTGCAACAAAAAGATAGTGCTAATGTTGTAGTTGCCCCATAAAAACCGTTCACTTTAATATTTTTAACTGTTGAATATCAATTATCAGCAAGACAAAATTTAAGTCTTCTGTTACTTTTCACCAACCATACAAAGGATGTCAACATGTCTTATGGTTTTGAAATTTTCGTTCACAAAAATGTGCCTTTCAGGCTATGGGGTGTAGATGTTAAATCATTTGCAGATATACAGAACCGCATTCTAACAGGGCCCTAGCTTTTTTTCATATTGGCTCTGACATTTGAATGGTAAGCAAAAGAGCTTCTGTTCCTTTTCCTTTTTCATTTCCATGTAAAACGGCATCTCATTCGAATAAAAGACACTAATATCTCGCCATTGTTTGCAGATACAACTGGACTACAATCACGTATTACTTTTAGAGGGAAGCGTCAAAATCTTGTTGTTTTTGGGTGATCAGTACGTTATCGATTAATCATCTGTTTCAATTCTAAATTACAAAGTTTAATGTTTGGCTATAGGGGCTTTTCATAAGCTTCATACTTGTAGTTTTGCATAGTTGTATTGTTATTAGACCATCGTAATAAGAGAAACATCTATGAGCAGTCGAAATTGTCTCTCTTCTTAGGGAATGATTCAGTAAGCAATCTTGATGCAAAATTGCTTTGGTTACCGTTTGTTGCTACTGTTCTCTCCTACTTCAGTTTTAGCATGGCTTCTTCACTACTGTATTTCCTTTCAATATTTGTTATTATGCTTTACTTGACCTTAGGGTCTGTTGGAAACATCTCTACCTTCACAACGTAGAGGCAAGGATGCGTACACACTACCCTTCCTAAACCTCACTTATGAGGTTACGCTGAGTATGTTATTGTTGATTAAGTAAGCAATCTGAAAATTCACCCTAATGTTCATTCCTTTTGAATTCCCAGTTCTGTCGACTTATTTTGGTTGTACTTTCCCTCCTTACAACTTTGAGTATTTGTTGCTTAGTGTGATTTACCAAACTAGTTGAAGTAAGTAGCATGTAAAGCTAATTGGAGAAGCTCAATTTTCTCTTCTTTACTTTGTAGCCTTTCTCTGGGCCTTGCAAAATGCTTTGTGCACCAAGCTTGACGTTTTTCCCACTTTGTGGCTTATCTATACATCTTAACTTTGAAACAGAAAGTACAACTGAGCAAGCAACTCACAGTGGAACTTATTTCAAAAGCATATGATCATGTCATTGGAGCTCATTATTTCACCTGCAAACTTCAAATATAAATTTTGAATTTTAAAAAACTATTTTCAGAGTTCTTCCAAGTTTTTACTCATAAAACTTCAATTCTACTTTTTCATGTTTCAACCAAATCGTGTAAACACCTACTAATTCTTTCACACGTCCACTTAAAACTAGAGTGGGAAGGCTGGACTCTAAACAAGCTGTCACAAAACGCCATCAGCCCGGATCAAACGGCTTGAAAGAATCGTTATTCTAATTACCCTTTAAATGACCTGATAGATTGAAAATATTTATAATTCTGTGAAATCTCAAAACTAGATATCAAATGAAGGACTGGAACAAGCAAAATGTATGACATAGCCTTCATAACAAGGGCCCCTGCAGCTAACATATCAACTGAGGCTAACCATGACATGTTATAGCTCATTCCATTAAATGTTTTAGCAAGCATTATGATACTTTGCATGTAATCTGCAGAAACAACTGCATCCACTGAAGCTCTATTACTGGTACAGAAATATAAGGGGTAGAGAATATTCCAGTATTAATTATATCAACTCTACCAATAAGCTTAAGAAAGTCGCTAATTATGACTTGCTCAAAGTTCCTAAAGACAAGTCCAGGTGAAGAATTTCTTATGCAAGGTAGCGATACAATCGTCTATCTGCATTATCCCTTTCCAAGAAATCTCTCTCAATAAGTGACTCAATCCGTTTCTTAATCTCCCCTGGATTTGCCAAGAAACGAGATTGCAATTGCTTTGTAACTTCAGCAATGATGTTGTTGTGATCTAATACCTTTCTGGATTTCATGATCCTCACTATAGCAGCTTCAATCTGGGGCTTTCTGTCTTCTTCCACCCTCTGACGTGTCTCCTGCTTTTCAGGCTCGGATTCCTTCTGTGCAACTACAGTTCCTATCTTGACCTTGTAAAACTTGCTTGTAAACTTATCATTGACGAAAAAGGCATCATCCTCCCCGATATCCTTACTCATCGGTTCTTTCCGGAGAACATTCTTTCCCTTAACACATGCCAGGGACTGCAAGCACCTTTTCAGATCAGATGAAGGGATCTCCGTGGCCTGTTCAATCTCCTTGTACATTAGCCGATCAGCATTGTTGAAGAGCATGAGTACACACATTTGGTAAGTAGAGACATTAAGCTCATGCTTCTGGCCCTTCCCAAATGTCGCTTTTAAATCAGCAGTGCCCATGTTAGTTTGCCAGGATAACCGTCGGCCGGTATGGGTCCCAAGGTAATATGACCGGAACTTCTCACACAGAGCTGATAATTCAGCTGGCAAATTGCAGGTGACACCAGGTTGAGTAGGCCACGATCCCGTAGTGAGAACCTGGACAACCAATGAGGGGCCATCTCCCAATTCAGTACCATATGCTGTATGAAATCCTTGCATTGTGTCCTGAGAGGTTTTCATGTCAGTAAACATGCCCTCTAATTTGGAAGTGAACTGATAACCACATTCTGTCTTCAACTTAACAATCAGACTTCTCTCAGCATCATCAGAAACTGTTTTTCCTGAAAGCAGTCGCTTTGCCAAGTGCTGTTTATAGTACTTCTCAAATACATCTTTTTCTTGTAAGTAACGGAAGAGCATCATCACCTTGTCAAGAATAACTTCAACATCTTCCTCACTGACTCCTTTAAGGCCTTTCCGCAATTTTTCATCCACAAATAATGAAATAAACTCAGGAGAACGTGGATTGAGGTTAATGAAGAACTCAAAAGATGAGTTTAAGGCATTTTGGAAAGTCTTGTCATTATTGAATGCCAAGATTATTACGTTATCATATTTATCCTTCTCATTCAAGAGACACTGGACAAATTCGACAGGATCTTTCAGCTTCTCAGGATCGGTAACGAGCTGTTTACCTATCTCTCTGATGTGAGAAGTCATTACATCTCTTATTGTTGCAAGGCCATTAGTAACTCTACGGAATAAGTTGTACATTCTTCTCAAATCCTCATATTTATCATCAAGAAGCATATTCACCAAACCTGAGTTTTCCATATGGACAAGCCTAGGCATATGGTTCTCAATCATCTCTTTCTCCACCACATTAGTGATCTTCGCTTCAGTCTTCGGATCCAAGTAGTGTGACACCCTCTCAATTTCTTCGGTTAAACGCTTTTCAGCTTTCTTGAGGTAGTCTCCACAGTCGCAACATTCAATGAACTTCTGAGACTCGGCTCTGTAAAAATCAGCTGATATTTCAAGGAAAGGTTTTTCAAAGTCTTCCTGGTACACAGATGGTCCTAAATCCATAAACATTTTAATTATATTTCTCATCAGTCCCCGGTTAATTACTTCACCATCCCTTTCTTTGAGTATAAGTTCAAGAAGCGTACTCAGAAGTCTCATCTGAATATTACTCGAACGTACTATGTTATCGCGCCAAAGATTCAGCCCAAGCTCATGAACAGGGGTTTTATGGGTACTCGGAATGAAGGTCCTGTCCATGTACATCAGAATGTCCCGTATCATTTGCAATGCCTTATTATGATCTGCCCATTGCCTATTCAGCTCTTCCAAGAATAAATCACCTTGGGCGGACTCTATGGATTTAGAGATACGTTGTAGGTGGAAAGTAATTGTAAATACAAGTCCAGAATACAGCTTCTCACCAAATTTGTGTAACACCATATTATAAGCATTTCTGCATTGACAGAAGATATCCCAATATCAAAAATAGTCTATTCAAGCATGCAAAAAAAAGAAAGGAACTAAAGAGTTTTGGAAACGAAAGTGAAGAGAAGGAGCAGGACAACCACAAAGCAACAGATCATTAAGACTGTAAAGGTGTCTTTATATATCAACAAAATGACAACAGTTAGACCAAGCAAAGGAGTCGATGATGCTCAGGATATGGTAAGCGTTAAAATTTAGGCTTTAGGAAAGTCTAGATCACCCTAAGACATCTAATAGCCTCAGTTGAGAAGGAAGAATGAAGCTAACAGCAAGAAGGGGCACATTCTCTGCTAGACTGATGATTTCTCTATGAACAGAACCAATAAAGATCTTTGTCTTTCTTTACCTCAGTAACAAATTAAAACAGTCCATAACCAAACAGCCTTTCCAGTTTAATTATCTATTCAAGTTGCAGGAAAAAAAAGAACAAAAGACAGTGGAATTGTGAATCGCTGAACTTGACCCAATGCAATCCATGGCCGCTGACAATTTATTAATACTCTAAGGGGTCGTTTGGTTGGGACAAGTTATCTGGGATAAGTTGTTCCACCATGTATATGTGATAACTTATCCCATCACTAAGGTATAACCGGTGGAATAAACAATCCCAGGATTGCCTAATACCTCCAACCAAACATAGGATAAAATAGTCCTGCATTTTATCCCTGGGATTATTATGCCTTATACCTCACACCAAACGACTCCTAAGCGCTGGATTTCTGCCTGATTTTGAATTCTAAAATCGTTTAGCTTTTCGAGAAAAGAGTCTCAAAAAATGTAATCCTACCTATGGACCTTAATGCTCATATTTTATGCATTACTTCTCCTACACTATATAAGTCACATTAAAACATGATATATATTCTCATCGGGGCGTAGAGGCGTGGTGGGCAGTAAAATAGATGCCTGGATTTATTGACATAGCCAGTTTGGTCATTGAAGTTGAAAAAAGTATTTGGAAGCTGATGAATTGTGTTTGGACATGAATTTCACTTGGGGTGTGTGTGTGTGTGTGTGAGGGGGGGGGGGGGGGGGGCGTAGATTTATGGGTTAAAATCATTTCACTTGGAGATACTCCTCAAACTAGCTTTTTGACTTTAAATTCTCTATTTCAATTTCAATTTCAATTGAAAAACAAATATTGATTTACAAATAATGAAATATTTGCAGATAATAAGTATGTTCAGACGTCAGCTTATCATCTCTGTGTGGAATTTCCTTATTAGCTTTTCTAGTAATTACACATTGAATAACCTTTATGGCAGATGGATTGTGAGCTTAAAATTATGACACTTTAGTAATCTCAAACTCCACGCCCAACTCGTCTTGTTCAAGGATTACTACACAAGTGAATTTTGATGCACCAGAACCATTTCATTCCAGAGCTTGGTGATGGAGTTTGAATGAAATGAAAATAGTATAAATGACTGGAACACAAAACTGTGAACTTTTATATAGGAGAGAAAAAGCCAGCAAACGATATCAAGGTGAGGTAGATTTAGAGGAATGGAAAGAGTTAGTAGGAAGAAATCCTTGTCAAAGAGACTAGTAGAGCATTCGAAGGGAGGGGAAGGAAACTAACTGTCAAGGGGGAGTAGGGGCAGTTGAGGAGAATTGGTGGGGGAAGGGTCAATGGTTATCTGGTCGCGATTTTCAGGAGAAGGCCGAGGATAGAAAGGACATCTCATACTCATAGTCTATTCTTGATTCCATCCTTCAATGGATTGAAACTTCTCCCCGCT